TCCTCTGGTCTAGCCAGACTTGCAAGATCAAATTTGAGTCATGGTAGTGGGAGCGGGGAGGAAACATTTAGGAACTAGAGGAAAGCTGTATTTCTCGTCATCGTTACATCACACCCTGACTGGCTCATCTCCTCCCCGAGACCCCTCCAAACAGACCTTTTATTTATAGGATTTTCTTTATTCTTTTTTTGGTCAACAGTTTTTTTGTTTGTTTGTTTGTTTGGTGTTTCTGTTGTTTTGCTCTGTCTTTTTTGTGTGCTTATTATTATCTCTGCATAGCTATCTAGATAAGAGAGGCAGGATAAACAATCCAGAGGAGAAAGAAACCAGACCAATGATTCCGGGAGGGATATGGAGGGGGGCACGGGAGAGGTGAATGTCGGGAAAGGAAGTGGGTGTTAACAAACCCAAGGACAAGGGAACAGCAAGTGATCTAAACTCTATGGTGAGAAGGGTGTAGGATGCCTGGTATGGCTTGATTAAGGGCAATGTGACCAAGAGGAATTACTGAAACCCGAATGAAAACCGAATATAATAGTGGGATAAGAGGAAAGTAAAAGGAAATAGAGGAAATAACTAGAAGGCATAGGGCATTTATAGAAGTCTAAATGCATGCATGTACATATGTAAATATATTTATATAGAGCAATAAGGAAATAGATCTAGGTACATATGTTTATGGGTTTAATATTAAGGTAGCAGATGGACATGGGGCCTCTACTCAAGCACTTCTTCAACGCAAGAACACTTTTTTCTAATAGCCTGGCATTCCATGATGCTGACCTTCTGGACACGAAGATGAAGTGGGTGAATATGCAAATGTAGTGAAGAAAGCTGATAATGCCTGGCTATCAAAAGATATAGCATCTGAGGTCTTAAAGGCTTGAAGATAAACAAGCAGCATCTACTTGAGAAGCAACAAAGTCCACATGGAAGAAGCCTGTGTGATCATGAGGTGTCGATAGGATCAGGTATCAGGCATCAAAGACCCAGAACAAAAAATCAAAGCAATGTGAATGAGGGCGTGTGCAGAGAGGAGACCCAAAGCCCATCTGTAGGCAATTGGATATCCCCTTTCAGAAGGGTCACAAGGAAGTGATGAGCCTGTCAGGGTGCACTGTAGCACCGATGAAACATACAACTTTCTTCTAGTTCTTTAATGCTTCCTCCCCTCCACTATCATGACCGCAATTCTACCTTACAAACCCATTAGACCAGAGCCTGTATATGGGTACAGATAAAAGCTGGAAATACACGGAATCCAGGGCATATAAACCACTCAGGACTGATATTGAGAATAGTGATACCAGGAGGGGAAGGGGAAGTGTGGGGAGAAAGGGGGAACTGATCACAATCATTTACATATAACCCCCTCCCAGGGGGAAGGACAACAGTGAAGTGGGTGAAGGGAGACATTGGTCAGTGTAAGACATGAAAAAATAATAATTTATAAATTATCAAGGGTTCATGACGGAGGGAGGATGGGGGAGGGAGGGAAAAAATGAGGAGCTGATACCAAGCGCTCAAGTAGAAAGAAAATGCTTTGGAGATGATGATGGCAACAGATGTATAAATGTGCTTGACACAATGGATGGGTGGATGGATTGTGATAAGAGCTGTAGGAGCCCCCAATAAAATGATTAAAAAAAAACAAGTTTGGATTTGAGATATACAGTGAACCCTCGTTTATTGCGGTTAATCGGTTCTAGACCCTACCGTGATAAGTGAAATTCCGCGAAGTAGGATTTCTTATTTGTAAATCAAATATTTTCGTAGTTAGAGCATAGAGGACATGAAAAAACACCCTTTAGTCACCATTACACTCGTATTACCCAATTTATTAAACGAAAAAGGGAAAATACAGTAAAACATTTTGGACGTTACAATTATCATTTATTATTTATTATATTATTTATGGCATCAAGCGTGTACAGTATGAGCCAATCAGTGACAGTAATGACAGAGCATGCACTGTTACGCAAAAACCGCGATAGAGTGAAGCCGCTGAAGTCGAAGCGCGAAGTGGCGAGGGTTCACTGTATATGTGATCACTGTCAGCATTTATATAGAATTGGAATCCATCTGACCAGATGCAATGATCAAGGGACTGAATATTAATGAAAGAGAAAGGACACAGAATTGAGTGTGGTAACATTTCAACAATGATAGGATGCTGAGTAAGGGGCTGGTGGTGTTTCCGTGATAGAATTCTCATCTTCCCTGCTGGAAACCCATGTTTGACTCCTGGCCAATACTGCCTTGTATGCAACCATAGGAGATGGAGGCTTGTCTGCTGCTGGGATATTGAAAAGGTTTCATCAGGGCATCACAACTCTAATGGATGAGGAAAAATGATCTCGTGCTATACTTCAGAAATTAGCCAATGGAAGCCCTGCGGATCTCAGCACCAGTCTGGTGTCCAATACCTTATGCAGGTGGCACAGATCTAGGCATTGCGTATGTCACCATAAGTGAGGGGTCAACTTAAGACATGCTTGGAGAGAGATAAAGAGTAAGCCATTAGTGTAAGTTTTTATTATTGTTCCTCTCTTTACCCAGGCTAACGAGTCCCAATTTTCATAACCATTTTAATGAGATACTTTCCCCAGTCCTAACCCCAGACTACTTTCTCCTTGTGAAAAGGAAACGAGCCTCAGCATGCAATATCACACAAGGTAAACCTGCCATTGTATGAATGGTACAAAGGAAAGACAGAGCAGCGGCTCCTGTGATCTGAACCGCATGCATTGGTATTGCAAACCATGTTCCTATATTTTCTTTAGAAAGCAAGTCATACATTTGGCTCATATTTAATGTTTTGTCAACCAAAATTCATACATATTTTCATGACTGAATCCCTGTAGTGTGAGTCCTCCTCAAAAACAGATCAGGTTGAATTATTGAAATATGATACAGCAATTTACATCTCTTTTTTGCCTTTAGATTTACTCTTGTTCGATTTAGCTCATTTAGCTCATGCAGGACCAGTTGTTGAAAGGACAATATTTTCCTTTCATTTCATTTGTCCACATATTTAAAATCATTTTTTTCTGTGTCCACCCGTTTCTCTTCCTGTAGGTAACTTTCCATTTACCATTAGACTCCATAGTTCTTCAAAACATGCTACTGCCTGAATTAACACTGCTACCAACAAAAACTTTCTTTTTTAAAAATATTGCATTGTTCTTTCCTCAGCAGGGAGTAAGAACTATGGGACTCGACAGAGTTGCTTAGGAATAAAATGTTTTAGTTGTCTGCTTTTGTAGCAGTTACGTAATCTCCTGTCAACTTGCAAAGGGGTGGAGTCTAGCCTGTCAATTAGGTTATAGCCAATGAGGCCTCTGTGTGGGCCTGGCCTTCTCCTGAGGATTCTTCCTCCCTGGAGGTGAGACACACTCTCCCTGTGAGACATTTCTGTTGACAAGCCACATAGAACTACACTATCAAGCCAGAGCCCTGGATCTGGAGGAGCCATGTGGAGACCCATACCAGCACTGAGATGCTTCCACCGCCACTGGATCCACAAGACTTTCTACCCACTGGTTTGTGATCTTCCTGCATTTTGCATCATAGCATGTGTTGCATGAGTCTGAAGAGGAATTTACAGACTCCTATCAGACATAGAGGCTAATATCGGACTTATGGCCTTGATCTGGACTGGACTGGGCTGGGATGTTTTCTTAATATACAATTGCTCTTAATATAAAGCTCTTTCTTAAACACATATGTCTATGAAATTTGTTTTGGACTAAAACAGCATGGGAAAGACAACTATAGGAGATCAAAATGATAAACCCGACTTGAATGGTTAAAACCTTGTCAGTTGATCCCCGCTCTGATGCACGTCAGGCCTGACCTGGTTTTCAAGATCTTCTGTTTCTGTGTTTTCATATTGGGATTTATCTCAGATGCATTTTGTCAAATTTGCTTCTATTGTTAGGATTGTTTAGGGCCTATTGCTCCACCTCTGCCAGATGCCAGGCTCATGATGATGGAAATTTCCATGAAAGGTGAACACGGAGCATGCAATTTCTCCTGACCAATTACATTTTCAAATTATTTTCTTTAGACAAAAGATGTACAATTGTTTATGTTGGCAATAATACTATAACTCAGCAGAATAAAGACTTAGGAAGAATTTTTTTTATTGGAAGCACCTTTTGACATAAAAAAATCTAGAAATAAAAATAAGCATTTTCATGTTCTTTTCATCATAAAACTAAGGCATTTAGCTCCCAAGACAATCCTCATATCGCAGGACAGTGATTATGGCGCCCCTGATGCTGACCTTCTTAGTCTTGCATATTTTGAAATGTGTTGGGCATACATTTCTCTGACATATTTTGCCTTAAACTAAGTAACAGAAGATCGGGTTGTACTTCAAATGGTAAAATAATTATATTTTAGTAAAAGCGAAGTATCCAGACTATTCAGATTCGTTAGTGTCTTTATTTTGTGTCAAAGTGTTCGAATAATGGCCAATGGAACCCCAATGTGTTCCAGGTGATTTGGTTCTCAGTCTTTGCTCTGCTATGGAAGGAACTTAGTTTTCTAGATCCCAACTGTAAAATATTACCATTGCAGTTTTCTTCCGAGAGACTATGTTTGTCCTTGAAATAAAAGATATAATTACATTGTAAATTACTCTGTGCACATCTTGAATAAAGGAAAAAGTTAATAGGAAAAGAAAATGATAATAAACCTTCCATTATTGTTGTTAGTTGCCTTTGAGTTGATTCTGACTCATAGCATTCCCATGTGCCCCACAGTTTTTTAAGGCTCTAACTTTTTGGAAGCAAATCACTATGCCTGCCTTCTGAGGTGCTTCGGTATAGGTTCTAGCTGCCACTGTTTAACCCTGTAACAAAACACTTAACAGTTTGCACCCCCAGGTACACCAACACTCTAAGGGAGTGCTGTGGTATTTTCAGCATAGTTGTTTATTTGACATTTGCATTCCAATCACCAATTATTATCAATGCATCTTGAGTGCATGTTTGATCAATTTCTGAATGAAGACATTGGTAGAATTCTTCAACTTCTGCATCACTAGCTTTGGTGGTTGGTACACAAATTTGAATGGTTGTATTAATTGGATTTCCTTGAATGCAGATAGATAGAATCCTATCACAAACAGCTTGTACTCCTAGATAGATCTTGAAAGGTCTTTTTTGACGACGATGATGCAACAATATTCTTGTTGACTGTGCCATTCCCAGCATAGTAAACCACGTGGTTTTCAGATTCAAAATGGCCAATACCAATCATTCTCACTAACACCTAGACTATTGATCTTTATGTGTTCTATTTCCTTTTTATTGACTTCCCATTTTCTGAGATTAATATTTTGTATGCCCGAAGTTCCTCTTATTATGATGTTTGCAGCTGTTTCTTCTCATTTTGAGTTGTCACTGATGACATTCATGAAGGCTTTACCCTGCCCCCCCCACCCCACCCCCACCCACCCCCACCCCCAGCTTTAGTCCACCCTTGTCATTATGGTGAAGTCTATTTGGAGACAGCAGCTCTTCCTCAGTGGTATTCTGACCTGAGAGACTCATCTTCTGGCACAATCTCTGACAATTCTTACCTTCTATTCAAGACGTTTTCAGTAATTGACAATGGATTCATGCCATCCATAAGATTTTCAATGGCTAATTCCTCATGTGGACAGCCTATTCCTTCTTCATAGTCTATTCTTAGTCTGGAAGCTCTGCTGAAGCCTATCCATTTTGAATGACCCTCTTGCCATTTGAAATACCAGAGTATAACTTCCAGCATCACAGCAACACGCAAGTCATCACAGTACAGCAAACTGACAGACACATGGTAGAGCCACATGGTAGAAAATTGTGACTCTATCAATTAATGAAAGACTCTTCTCTGCTGTCTTCTGGATCTGTTGCCTACCTTGTATTATTTCTCACATTCTCTTAAGACATTTTGGAATCTGCTTTTTCCATGATGTGGGCAGCACCAAACAATCACATGGCCCCTGGAAGAAGTATACATAAATTACTTTCAATATTAAAAACACCATACTCGTCATCTAAACAACCTTAACTACATGGAAGTAATTAGTGCCTCTAGTTTAGCAAAAATCTCTAAAACACTCTAGCTTTAATAGTGAAAAAGTCACTATTTCATAGCAAATAGAAATGGAAATATCTTTGAAAATATATACTTAAAAGTTATAACATTCCACATTAACACCATTGACAGACGCTTCCTCCATTATTGGTGCCCTTTTCATTTTGTAAAATTATGGAAGGAGGTCCCCTAATGTTCTGATGTCCGGAAGAGTGTTCATTGTGGCTCTTCCATATTTGGAGAGTAGGGACATGGGTGTGTCCATATTTTTTCTGGAAAACTATTAGTCTCTTCTCATCTAAAGCAATGGAAAGTAAAAAAAAAAATACTCAAGAAAACAAGTGTGGCATTTAGAGGGAACTCTTGGTACCTGGAAATGTAAATCTGGAATCTTACTTGTGTTATCGAAGTAGTGATGGATTCAGTATTTCTTCACCATTCCTAATGATTGGATCGCAACAAAAATGAAATCCTTATGGGATGTGAATAAAATGTGGAAGAAAAGAAAACAATTAATTCACAGGATTAATAGTCCACCTGAACCCCAGTTTCTCTAGTCAGAGCTCCAAACTAGGTAGGGCCAGGCTACCATTTCTGATCATGTATTGATCAAAAGACACAAAGACACAATAGAAGGCCCTAGTTAATATGAAAGAAAAACATAGAACAAAACTTAAATTTATAAAACATCAAATTTACTCAACGACGAGCAACTGAAGATATCCCAGAGACTATCACCCTTTAAACCTGGAGCTGACACTACTCCCAGAGAGCACCCTTCAGGCAGACAATAGACCGGCCTATAAGATTAATAATAGCTACCCAAGACCAAAACAGGCACCATTTGCCCAAAAGGAAAGGTAAGGAGGGGGCCAGAGACGTTGGAGGGAAGGAAACCATTTAAGTGTGGAAACGAGTAGCATGCTGACATGTTGCAGGGATAGCAACCAATGTCATGGAACAATTAGTGGATAAACTGCTAAGGGGGAAACTAATTTGTTGCGTGAAGTTTCACCTAATGCACAATAAAATGTTTTTATATACATTACTTTCAACTAAACCTAGTCATCCTCAAATTAAAGTCAATTTTGTATAACCTTTTTTACATGGTCGATTTTTGTGAAAATCAAAAGCACAAAAAATCCTCACATTTTGCAAAAGACATGTTCTGGGAAAATTGTCTACAATTCTAATTTTTTGGCAAAGTTCAGTCAGATAATTTTTATTAAAATTAAAAATTATTTTGAAATGAGAGGATAGATAATGTGTCCCAGATCTGCCCAACTTTTTAGGTTAAAAAATGCATTAATGTAGACACAAGACAGTAATTCTTCCTTCAAAGTTTTGGTAATGTCATTCCTTACCTATTTATGAACACTCTCAGGAGGTTCTGTGTTTTTGATGATCAAACTCATATGATGAACCTGTAATTTGTCTCCACTAACCTTCCACTCATACTCTAAACAGTTGTGGTAAGATCTCACTAACTGGCACAATGCCCTCTTTACTTGCTAATGGTCCAAACACAAATGCCTGCCAACAGTGCCTCTTCCCTCCCCTGCAGCCCCAATGTCACCAAGATTCCACTGCTGACATCAGAGGTGTAAGGCCTTGTCCTGTTTCCTGTCTTGTCCAGCTGGCTCAACCCATAGTTCAAGCTACTAAGTCAATCTATGTCTAAATATTAAGCAGTGATTTATCTTGGGCTAAATTCTGTAACATAAGCTTCAAAATACTTCAAGCTTTGGGTTCATAGCAAAAACTCGGGTGCTTCTGCTGCCTCTGCCACTTCAGAAAAAGATGCCCACTGGTGGCTGCTTTCTTGATGATAATGATGTTACCTCTTCTGTTACTTCTCTTATCCTTAGGCGTATGGCAAAAACAACCAATCCCCTCACCGAATGGCATACACCTATTTGCAGGGTCCCACACAATGATTTGGTATGAGTTCCAAAGACTTGAATAGAAGAGCTATATTTAAGCTGAAAACTTCATATCACCACAACAAGCTCTTGAGTTTCTTTTCTTAGAATAGATGCTTCTCTAGTGGACCCTTGCCTTCTTTATGCAAATGACTGTCTGGAAAGTCTGTTCTTCATGTAGTCTAACAAGTCTCAAGTCCAGAGAGAACACTGCTGAGTTTCAAGTTATGGTTGCTGATATATAAGAAACCATTTCCTGAATTACATGTTTGATAAATATGAGACATTCACTTTCTACACACACACACACACACACACACTCACACTCAAGGGGGCTTCAAAACCTTCATGGAAAGATGAAATTAAATGATAATAGAACTTTTCCATGAACTTTTTGAAGTGCTTTCATATATGTGAGTGTGCACAAGGTTATGTGTCTAGTGTCATGTTTGTGCTTCGTATGTTTTGAGAGAACTGCATTTCAAAAGAATACTTAGTTCACTGAGTTTTGCATCTCAAATGTTGCATTATAGCTACATTCTTTCCTTAAACTGGATTTCTAACTACAAAAAATAACCTTGAGTTTTCAGTTGAGTGTTTTATTGCTCACAGACAAAGAATAAATCAGGGCAGTTTTTATCATGCTGAGAGACGTGCTCTTAGAATTCTCAACCATTCTGTGTAACTACATTGACAGTGATTAAGTGGTTTCCGTACCAATGGGTTACACATTATCCTAACTGGGCACACTTAATGCTAGCCAAGGGAAGAAACAAAGTGTTTCTTTATTTCCATATTACCAAGGATTTTTATTTTTTACTTTTGAGCTCCAAATGATAACAAAGTAGAAGCTTCTAACTTCTTTCTCTAGATGTGAGAGCCTGTTGTCCTGCATGATTCCTTCCCTGAGCTTGAATTTCATGGTAATGTGAAAGAAAGTTAGAAACTGTGTCTCAGAGGGAGTTTCCAGTTATTACGGGAACTTTTCCTACAGAAAAAAAGTTAATGCCATTAACTGTCTAGAATTTCCATGCATGAGACTTTGTGCCATGAAGTGTTGGCCAGGTTTCTTTCTCAGAACAGAAAGTGCTAGAGTGCTTCCTTCGACGGACGCTAATATGACAGCTTCCGACCTTTCAAAGACACAGAAGGCTATTTGTTGCTTGACACAATGGATGGATGGATGGATTGTGATAAAAAATGTATGAGCCCCAGTAAAATGATTTTTAAAAAGAAGACAAAAGCTATTTGTCTTATGAATAGCAAAACAATGAGTTATGTAAAGTGTACTCTTCTACACTGCTACTAACTCAGTGGTTCTCAACCTGTGGATCGCAACCCCTTTTGGGGTCGAACAACCCTTTGACAGGGGTCACCTAAGACCATCGGAAAATACATATTTCCGTTGGTCTTAGGAACTGAGACACCGCTCCTCTATCCGTCTCCCGGTGGGTCCGCCCACCTGCAGATACGCCCACCTACGAGTACCGGGCATGAAGACTGTTACTCTGCTACACCATGCTTCAAGACAAAATTTCATTTATTTGTCATTAGAAATAAATATTTCACAATATGTAGTTACATATTGTTTTTGTGATTAATCACTATGCTTTCATTATGTTCAATTTGTAACAATGAAACTACATCCAGCATATCAGATATTTACATTACGATTCATAACAGTAGCAAAATTACAGTGATGAAGTAGCAATGAAAATAATTTTATGACTGGGAGTCACCACAACATTAGGAACTGTATGTCTTAAAGGGTTGCGGCATGAGGAAGGTTGAGAACCACTGTACTAAGTGGTTATTGGAATCTAATATGAAACTAATCTAAAGCTGAATGTGTTGACTAACCAGGTATTTCTGGTATTTCTAGAGTATAATATTCAAGACTAGAATAGAAGGAAACTCTGTAAGATAGCTAATAATACAATAGTTCTCAATATTTCTTGCCACAAAAAGTTGGAGTGTTTTTAAAAAATGTTTTCAAAATTATGCTAGGAAATAAAGTGATTCCTCATCTTGTAACAACTTGGATTTACGCAGCACTTTATTTCAGAACCCATTAATGACCTTTCGAAACTTGACATCCATTGAGAAAGGGCATAAAGAGGAGCCATTTGAGAAGCATGTTAACTACAAAAATGTTTTGATTAATGTGCCTGTTTTATGTCATATTTTCAGCCTAAATTTAGAGCATATTGTTCTAAATGACTTAGACTAATGACTTTTAGCATTCTCCAGCCAATATAACTCATTTTGACTAAAGTCATTACTGCTTAATTGTTTGGGCATGTCATGTTGTTGTTGTTGTTGGGTACCATCAAATCAATTCTGGCTGATAGTGACTCAAAGACAGAGCTAATAACAATAAGTATTAGAAAGAAAAAAATGTTTAAAAATGATGGTGGTGATGATTGTGCAACTCTTTTTAATATGATGATGTTCTTAACTTGTAGGATATGTATATTATATGACAGGAAAACTTTTTTTAAAAAGAGTAGAATTTCTCCATAAGGTTTCCTAAAATGTAATGTTTACAGGAGCCAATTTCTAGGCCTTTCCCCTGGGAAAAGGTTTCTGGGTTCCAACTGCCCACCTTTCTGTCACCAGTCAAGCACTAAACCATTGTGCCACCAGGGAGCTTTGGGGGACTGCTAATGAGATCTAAATAAAAACAGAGCAGTCTAAGCATATCTAGGGGTTATAAAAGATCATATGTTTATAGAAAACCAATTTTATTCCATCTTAATCTGATCCTATTTTCCTGTCTCCCTACCACAAAATCCAGAGTCTGAAATTCTTCATTTCCTGAGCCAGAATCACACAAAGACTACTAGAAAGATGAAACCACATGACCAGGGTAAGGAGGGTATGCAGCGCATAGGAAAGCCTCAATGCCATGTAGACAAGAGGCCAACAGGTCAGTATCAGATTCTTGAGTGGCAAGGGACAGAAGGCCTCTCTCAAATTATGCAGACAACTGAAAAACATAGACTCAAGTACAGTAGAACCCCAGACCTCTACACTAATCCATTCTAGGAGCGTTGACACGCAATGCAGTTGAGTTTTGAATCCATTTTTCCCATAGACATAACTGAAAACGGATTCATCCATTCTCAACCACCAAGTTTTCACTCTAACCTTGTCTTTTTTTTTAATCATTTTATTGGGGGCTCATACAACTCTTATCACGATCCATACATACATCAATTGTGTAATGCACATTTGTACATTCGTTACCCTCATCATTCTCAAAACATTTGCTCTCCATGTAAGCCCCTGGCATCAGTTCCTCATTTTTATACAAAACATTACACAGAAATTTCAAAGTAAATAAGTTCAGAATTAAATCATATAATTTAAATAAGAAACACAACGTTAAAAAGTTTTTTTTACAAGTACAGTAT